CGACAGGACCAAACGCCTGGTTTCTTCCGTCTGCCTCTCAGTGCGGGATTAACCTCTACGTGATCCTTATTTATCCCCCGTTTGGCACAAATATCGTATCCAGAAATCCCAAAGCGAACCCTACCTGAACCCTACCTGAACCCTACGTGTTAAACAATCGAGGGACATAAATATGCATTTCAGTATTATCTGCTTTTATATTGGCATACCTTGATTTTTTTTCTTCAGAATATCTTATATAGCCCTGCGCAGTTTTTAAGACGGTGCGGTTTAAAAACTGGCGAGGCTCGTGGCGCAGGGCGGTCGCTCGCCCTGCCAGCCGGGCCCCGTGACAGATCTGCCTTTCCCCCCCCGCCAGGGGCCTCCACGACTACGAGCTCACGCTGCGCGCCGACCTCTACACCACCAAGCACACGCAGTGGTATTACTTCCGGGTCCGGAACATGAAGGCGGGCGTCACCTACAGGTTCACCATCGTCAACCTGATGAAGCCCAGCAGCCTGTACAACATGGGCATGAAGCCGCTGCTGTACTCCGAGCAGGAGGCCCGGGCTCGGGGCGTGGGCTGGAGGAGGGCGGGCGCCAACATCCGGTACTACCGGAACCAGCGCGATCAGGAGGGGCAGAGCCTGTATTCCCTGACCTGGACCTGCCAGTTCCCCCACGAGGGCGACACCTGCTACTTCGCGCAGTGCTACCCCTACACCTTCTCCGACTTGCAGCTCTATCTCTCCAGGGTTGCCAACCACCCGGTCCGGGCGCGGCACTGCAAGTTCCGGGTGCTGTGCCGGAGCCTGGCGGGCAACGCGGTGTACGTCCTCACCATCACCTCGCCGTCCCCCAGCCCGGCTGCCAGCCTGGCCAAGAGGGCGGTGGTGGTGACGGCCCGGGTGCACCCGGGGGAGACCAACAGCTCCTGGATGATGGCGGGCTTCCTGGACTTCCTCCTGGGCGACTCCCCGGACGCCCAGCTGCTGAGGGACACCTTCGTCTTCAAGGTCGTGCCCATGCTGAACCCGGACGGCGTGATCGTGGGCAACTACCGCTGCTCGCTGGCGGGGCGGGACCTCAACCGGAACTACGGCACCTTGCTGCGCGACGCCTTCCCCTGCGTGTGGCACACCAGGAACATGGTGAAGAGGTGAGGGCCGCCGGCACAGGGCAGGGGCACTGGGGATGAACCAGCACGGCGCTAAGAGACTGCCTCTCCCTCCCGGCTGGTTCAAAGGTCAAAGGGCTCCAGGGGGGCGTGCTTGTCACAGTGCACGGTGCACCTCTGGAGTGTCTCCAGGCTGAAGCAGGCGGGGATCAGTTAGAAGGAATTCCCCCAGGTTTTTTTTTTTTTTGTGGCGGCCCTAACATCCTTCGTCGGGGCCCCTGAAGTTCAGTCCCCTGCTGTATTTGAACCGAAGGCGTGTTTTGCTGTGCAGCCACATTGGTTTGCAGTTAGTCCTGTGTAAGCACATAAGGCAGGCTGCACGCAAGAGGCAGCTGTCTGGCCCGTCTGGCCCGCTGGGAAGTTAGGTGCCGATTGATCCAAGGCGCGCATCCGGCTGTTTCTCGAAGGACACCGCGGCATCGGCTTCCACATGGCTCCCGGAAAAGGGGTTTTCCTTGTGGATTCCCGAATCCGACCGCGTTCGGGGTGCGGCTGTCTGACCGGCACTCCGCCCTGGTCCCCTTCCAGGCTCGTGGCTGAGAGGGAGGTCGTCCTGTACTGCGACTTCCACGGCCACAGCAGGAAGCACAACGTCTTCATGTACGGCTGCGACAACAAGAGCAGCCCCGCCCAGAGGCTGCTGGAGCGCGTCTTCCCTCTGATGATGAGCAAAAACGCCACTGACATGGTGAGACTGCTTTCCTGTGTCCTGTTTCCTGCATGCGAGTGTTACCTGGGGTGTACGGCTAGTGTTATCAGCCTGTAGGTTAAGCACTGCTTCTTTCTTAATTAGTTTGGTCATTTCAGTTGAGAGAGTTTAGATCCCAGATGTTTACATGTATTATAATAAAACATCCTTGTATGCAATATATCGTATAATCCTATATATATCCTATATATATATTTCTAAATATAAAATGTACAATCCTATATTAATAGGATTAATATAATATAACGTCCTTTGTTATAATAAAACATCCACATACAGTGCCTGTGAAAGTATCTTGACAATACTGTCAGTCTTCACCATTGACAGTAAGAACAATGGTGGATAAGAAGAACAGGGGAAAAAGATTCTGTCTGAAAGTGGTCAACAAAGGCACTGCCAACAAAGGACAATGCCATCGGCCGACAAAAAGGAAGGGGAATGATTTCTCTTGCGCGTTGTTGTTGTTGTTGTTGTTGTTTTTTAATTCCCTTTCCTTCCCTGGCGCGTGCTTCCAGTTCTCTTACAAGGGCTGTAAGTTCAGAGTGCAGAAGAGCAAGGAGGGGACAGGGCGGATCGTCATGTGGAGGATGGGGATCACGAACAGCTACACCATGGAGTCCACCTTTGGGGGTTCCACTCTGGGTGAGGGACCAGGTGCATCTGTATCTGTATGCATATACATTCCCGTCCACTGTGTAGAAAGTCATCACAGTAATGAAGGTTCCTGATTTAGGATTCGCTCCTGCAGCCTCTGTGCCTCTGTGCCTCTGTTGAGAGTGAGCGATGAAGTCTCTCCAGCAACACTACGCCCTCCTGTGCATTCATATGCTTGTAACAAGTCATGCATTTTTTGATAGGTGGCAGAAAAGGAACCCATTTTACCACACAGGACTTAAAGTCTTTGGGCTATTACTTCTGCGACACCCTCCTAGACTACTGCGACCCAGACCAGTCTAAGGTGAGGTTTTAACAAACCGTAGGCAGGCAGGGGCATAAAGAACTGTTTAAGGTAAAATCGCGATAACTCATACAGTTTATTTTAGCAGAGAACTTTACCTATTATTAATTTAGTTAAGGTTGTTTTAGCATTGTTGGAATATTTAAAGTTTAGGAAACAACAGTACCCAATCGGATAAATGCACTACTAAACAGGCACACCCCCCAAAATGAATATATATAGGGGCAGAGCAGTGGCACTGTGGCTTCGGATCTGTGGCTGGAAGGTTGCCGGTTCATATCCCGTGGCCGGCAGAGGAATCTTACTCCGTTGGGCCCCTGAGCAAGGCCCTTCACCCCAACTGCTCCAGGGGCGCCTTATAAATAGCTTCTCTCTTCCCGTCTGTGTGCCTGTGTGTCTTATGGAGAGCAAGCTGGGGTATGCGAAAAGACAATTTCCTAATGCAAGAAATTGTGTATGGCCAATAAAGTGATCTTATCTTATATAGATAACCCATTTGTATCCAGGTTTAGAGCTTTCAAAAGCTGAGTGTGGTACGCTGCGTTCTGAAAACATACAGATGGCACAAGCAGCTTCAGGAAAACCAAGCCAAGCCTTTAGCTAGGCTTTTCCTTGACTGTACATTACACCTGAAGATACAGGGAGAGGGGCGGTTTAAAAGGAATCCCGAATGCACAAAAGCACTCTTTTCCTCACCTGGGGTTCTGTCCCGCACTGCAGACCTACCTGTGCATGAAGGAGCTGTGCGAGATGCTCCACCAGGAGATCCGGAAGAAGCTGGAAAATCTGGGCAGGGAAGCGGACTCCAGCGTCGCCCTGAGTGACGTATCCGTCTCCGACATTGAGTCCAGGTGAACCCACAGACCAATTTCTTTCTTCCTTTTTATTCCATTATGGGGTGGGCAGTTTCCTCACGGGGAACGTCTTGTCTGTCCGTAGTCCTCAGCAGCTTACAGATGGGTTGTCTTCCAGCCTTGTGCTGGTCTTCCTTATCTGCAAAAGAAAGTAGCACTAGTGAGTTTGCCGTTTTTAGCACTTACTGTGTTTTGTGTTTCACTGATACTGCTGCTCATCATTAAGGTCATCTTCCGAGGAGCTGTGTTACTTTTTTTTATATTTCTCCCTTTTTTTTTTTAATTTGTGCATTCAGCCTTAAGGAGATGCAGTCTGAAGGGTAAGAAAACCGGTTGAACAGGCTTTACAGTCTTGGCACGGTTTGCACGCTGGCCTTCTCAAATGTGTCGAATTTTCCATCTCAAGAAACCCTGATTACCTGATACGGCCGTTCTCCCGGGGGTTGTCCCTCAGTTGAAATGTATATCTACACGCACGCCATGCGGTCTTGAAGAGATGAACTAATGGATTTTCCTTGTCCTCTTCGCAGTACGAGTGGCTCAAACAGCACTGAGTCGGATGGTCTGCCTGCCCATCTGCTGGATCTTGCACACAAGGTACGGGATGAAGCTGGTTTACACAAGTGACCTGCAGGAAGGTCATCCAGGCCAGCAGTAAAAATGTGCACAGGTCTACTTGGAACCTGTAAGAGTCTTTGGATGGGACTGTTTTCTCAGCATCGCGATGTGCTTGTTCGCTGAGTGTAGGTGAGCTTATTTGGCTGCTGTTACACACCACACTATAAAAACGCTGTGAACATCAGCCAGGATAAAGAACATAACCTTCAGCTATTTTAAGCAGTTATTTAAATATACAGTGGTGACCATCCACAGAAACTGAAGCTCTGGAAATACAGGATTTTTAAACCCATGTTCTCTTTAGTATGTAAGATCTCTTCAAGCCCAGTCTTGCAAGGCTGTGCTAGAGAACACACTGAGCACAGTTAGGGCTGGTAAATTCTGAGAGGATCTGTCACCCGGAAAATCCAGCTATTAGCAACTCTGTGGATTTTTTGGTTAATGCTTTGGTTTAGATGTCTATTATAACTGTATATTAATATTATTAATAACACATTATTATCTATAAATGGTATTAATGTGTATTACAAGTGTGTTACAAATATGACTATAATAGTATTATAAAAAAGTTATTATTTGATATCCCAGTTAGAGGAATGGTTCAGTTTAGGGTCAAGATTAGGTTTTTGTTGCTAATATGCAATGAGTCTATGGTGCAGGCTGGTTATTATCTCTATTAATACTCTTATAAAAAGGTTCTATTCATAAAATGCTTAGAAATGGCGTTTACAACACCAGCTCTAAAGTGACACCCTTTTCTGTGCTGAAGTTTACACAGAAGAAGAAGCATCTGAGGACGAGGAAGGAGAGGAACAGGCTGCGCCTTGGGCACGTGCAGAGCAGAGAGCAGAAGGCGCTTCGTGGAAACATGAGCCTCCCGGTAGGAATTAGCTGCTGGTGTGTCAGCGAGAGGGTGGCTGAGGCCCTTGGCTCAGTTCTGCACCTGGGGTGCTGTCTGCATGGAGTCTGCATGTTCCCCTCGTGTTTGCGTGAGTTTCCTCCCAGAACCCAAAGACATGCTGGTAGCTTAATTGCCTTCTGGGAAAATTGGCCCTGGTGAATGTGGGTTTCTGTGTCCCCTGATGGACCACCGTCCCATCCAGAGTGTCCCGTCCTGCCCCCTTTGCTGGCCATGATCGAATGACTATGGTCGTTTTAGTTGTGGTAGTTGCACAGGAGCTTCAGCAAATAAGTTTAACTTGCAGAAGTGCTTGCAGAGTGCTTGGTAGTGCACAGTATGACTTCTGTCAAAGCCATGTCACAGAGATCGGTTCTTTTTCAGCCATTTTTATGAAGTGAAACTACCAGGCTTAGTATTTATCTGGATTTTCCACTCCAATTTGAATGTGCGTGACTTGGTTTTATTTTTCTGCAGTTTAGAAAATAAACTAAGATCCAGTTTAAACTTGGCTGTGTCCCTTAGCAATTCATAAAGTACCACCAAGAAAAGGCAGCATGGAGGAATCTCCCAAGCTGCACTGTGGCACTCCGATAAGTTCAAAACCTGACGGGAAGGCACCTGTTTTACTTAATGTATATTTCCCATCCTGAGCACTTCAGTTAAACCCCTTTTTTGGACTGCAGAGCTCCGCAGCTCTGCTCGCGGATCAAGGGATGAAGAGGGAGGCTCAAGAGAAGCCAGGGAGTGGAACGAGCCAAGAGAGGAAAATCAAAAAGGTAGGGATGCCTGTAAACCGTCTGCATCAGGCCATGCAGTGGGTTAGGTAAAAATTGCCTGTTTTTCTCGACACCTCTGTCTTTGGGTCTTGCTCCCCCCCCCCACACACACACCTCTCTCTGCAGGTGCAGCATATCCGTACGGAGCGCAACAGGACAGGACGGGCTTGGATTCCCCATCCTTCCACTGGGATAGCAGTCATCGGGGAAGGGAGACTGTGGGACAGCAACCAGGAGAAGGTACATGCTCCCAAAATAGCTTTGCCAGTTTAAATAGAATACATGTGTCGCGGTATATCCCCCTACTTCGACAGCCTGGCTTTGCAGTTTGAGTTTGTGCCATGCTCCCACAACTCTTTGAGTAAATAAGTGCCTCCTGCTCTCAGATTTAAATGCACTTCCACTTGTGTCTCCTGGTTTGTGTTTCACTCTTCATTTTGAAGCAGTTCATTGCATTGACTTTGAGGACTCAGAGCCTTTGAGGACTTTGAATACTTGTATAATGTCCCCTTCAGGACTCAAAAGGTTCAGTTCCTTCAGCCTGTCAGTGTGAGACACTCCCTTCAGACTAAAGAGACTCAGTTCCTTCAGCCTGTCAGTGTGGGACTGGGATGTATCTGCTTTCTCTTCTCTGGACCGATTCCAGAACAGCAGCATCTTTTCTGTAACAGGGTGACAAAAACTTTAACACACACGCTGCTACACAATTTTAAAATAACATTCTTTTTTTCTATATTCCACTTTTAACTGCTGCGCATATGCTAACACATTTATTTACATTTTTTAACACTTAAACACATTGTCTGGAAGATGTAAATAAAGTGTCAACAAACTTCTCGGCTTTTTTTTTAAGTAGCATCTTGTTCTCTCAATGTTTTCCCACTGTCGTGTTCTGAAGGATTTGCAGAGAATAAGCCTATCGTTTTCTCTGTTTTAGAATGCGTATTTAGAAGCCGTGACAGCTGCCTATCTGCGCAGTGGAGGAATGTTTACGGCTGCTCAACAGACTGTTACAGGTACGTAATGCTGAAGACTTGAACTTTGTGCCGTTTGTTTCAACCGTTCCAGTCAGCAATTGTAAACAAGCTTTCAAACTGTTCAATTTTTACTGTCACGTCAATCGAAAACAGAATGTCATCCTCGTCTGCTCTAGTGTAGCAGGAAATCTGAAGGGTGTAGGATGAGAAAGTGCTTTGTCCATGTGTAAGAATGTGTTTTCAGGGACTAATACAATAAGTGTCAGTAAGGGCTTCAGCGTTTAGCGTTATTTGTGATAACTGTGCTTTCTAATTGAGGAACGCTGAAAATCTTGTTAATTATGACTTGCTAACCTGTAGACGTACCACATCTGAAATACTCAAGTGTGAAGACTGACGCTGGCATGAAGAGTTCAGTCAAAGCACCAGCTACTGCAGAGAGTGGTTTGTATTTCCCATCAGCTGGTTCGTTTTCTGTGCCTTGTCTCTGTAGATTGGTGATGGGTTAGTCCTGCTTTTGATAGGGACTAGTTAAAATACGCAATGTCGTTTACAACACCCCGTTTTTTACAAAAGTGGAAAAATAAATGTCTGTCTGCTTGGTTCTGGTGGGCCTGCCAGCGGGAGAGTTCGAGTGGGCCAGCGGGTCCGGCAGCCGGCAGCGCCAGCGCTCCCTGACCTCGCAGCGCCGGCCCCTCGCCATGGCCTCCATCCAGCAGCACCGCACCCTGGAGTTCCCCGGCAGGGACCGCGGCGCCCCCCTCAGGCAGCATCCCCTGCCCTTCGACTGGGAGCTGGAGGTCACCACCCGGAGGCAGCCCGCTGTCAGGAGAGGTCTGGCATCCCTGTCGCTCATCTTGCCCCCTGGAGCCCGAGCTCCCCGCAGGGTGGGGGGAGTCTGGGACAGAGCCCGGGACAGAGTGTAGTACCCTGAGCCCGGGACAGCCCTGCAGTACCCTGAGCCCGGGACAGCCCTGCAGTACCCTGAGCCTTGGACAGCCCTGCAGTACCCCTGAGCCCGGGACAAAGTGCAGTGGGACAGCCCTGCAGTACCCCTGAGCCCGGGACAGAGTGCAGTGGGACAGCCCTGCAGTACCCCTGAGCCCGGGACAGCGTGCAGTACCCCTGACCCCGGGACAGCGTGCAGTACCCCTGAGCCCGGGACAGCGTGCAGTACCCCTGAGCCCGGGACAGAGTGCAGTACCCTGGCTTATTTCACGTCCGGCTGGCTCAGATCCTCCTAATCAGGACAGGAGGTGCTCTCCCTCACACAGGATGGGAGTGTAGAAGAGGCTACCCGGCCATGTTGGCTCTGTCAAGAGAACGGCTGGTTGAGATCTCTGGTTCACATAACCACCCACTACCAGACAGGCTGGGTGGGCCGTGTGGTTTCCCCTCATGTGTCCCCTTTCTGATGGTCCTACGCTGGGCCTTGCCTGAATTGCATCGATTTCTCACGCTTGCTGAGCAGCAGGAATTTTAATGCCACTTAATTACAGAAGGGTACAAGTTTGCAAGTGTTGCACACCATCCACTTTTTTTTGCTGTTTTCACCTGGCACATACAGACAGATTTTTCATGGAGCTGTGTTAACATGATCTGGCTCTGCGTGTTTCCTTAGGAAGGACACCCTCGGCTTACGTACTGCCTTCCTCCTTACACAGGTAATCCTAGCACCTGAGCACAATCAGAATGTGTGTTGTCTGCTTCGCCAGAAGTACTTCATGGCATGATGTTTGTAAATTTGCTCCAGTTTAGATTCCATTTTAAATTTGCCTCCCTCCCCTTTAATATTATATGTTCTTGCTCATTGTTTTGTTTCAAATAATCGATTAGGTTATCCTGTGTGAGCGTGAACTAAACCATTATTCTGACACGTTGAGTTGTTGATACAGAGGGCAGCACTAGGATTGTGGATGGTAGGGGATGATCATTAATCATCTGGTGACTTGTTTCGATCTTCAGAGAACGATTTTACATTTCCCAACGCACTTACTGATGGAAAGGGGCACTGGTGCATCGTTGGAGCTTTCATCTTTAGGGGGGCGTCTGGCCTGAAGATAGCAGTATTTTTAGTAGCATGAATTTAAAAAATGTAGAAACAATTTAGGGCAGCTCTCTGTTTTATTTTTTTTATCATTCACAAAAATAGACCATTATACTCTTCTTTTTTTTTCCTGGAATGTCTTATGTAGGCCTCCAACTTTAGCCACAAGTCAGGTGGTGCAAAGCAGGGTGGTCCCAGAGTTCCCAGTATCCAATGGCTTGGTGGCCTCCAGGTCGTCCAGTTCCATCAGCGCTCCAGCCCCGGGCCCAAAGCCCAGTCAGGAGTCGAGGGTCCGGCCGGCCAGAGTTTCAGTCCGCTACTTGTCCCATGAAACAGCCACATCCAGCTCCGACACCTTGGAAACCAACAAGAGCACCCAGGAGAGGCCCAGTGTCTCAGGTGACCCTCCTCCGGCCTTCAGAAAAACAACACCGTCGCAACAGACCTTACATCATGCATTGGCAGGGTTGCATTTTTACCCTGGTTTTTTAGCACTCTGTCTATTGTGGCTCTGAATACTTAAGTTATTAGTAATCCCTAAAAAACAAAAATGCCTAAAATGCAGTACTATTCAAAACCTTGGCTCTAGCCGGTCAGTAGCCTCCTCTTTAAGTTTAAGTGGGGCAGATGAAAAACTTTGCTGCTTCTTACCTGAGTACGCCTTCAGAAGCAGCATTTTTACGTAAAGCTATTGTTTTAGTCTGCTGAGGAAAAAAAGACATCTTTTACAAACATCTTGCCTGCTGTGTTTTTTTTTTTATTCATCAGAAGCTTTTGGTCTGGATGGTGTGGGCAGCGATAGAGGACACCCCAAGCCTGACAGGGCGGTCAGGAGGCCCGCAGTGGACACTCAGACTTGCTTGCCCGATTTAAAGAGACAGGACTCGGGCCCACAGCTGCAGGGTCAAAGGTGACGGCACAGCATGTGCAGTTTGTAGCAGCAGTGATGCGATGAAAGTGCTGGCCTTGAAGTACACAACCTCCATCATGTCTGCAAAGCAGAAGCTACTTTCGCACACTTGCTGTTAGGAAAATGCAACTAAAAATATCCAAATGAGCTTGGACTCAAAACAGATCAGCCAAGCCAGCACAGAGGTTTCCCTAAGTTATGACCGTCTCTTCGTCTAGGATAAATTGGAACAGATCCAACTAAAGCTGAACTGTAACAGCCTTAGGCTGGAGACAGTTTAGAGGTGCATGAAACCTTCTGGGTCCAAGGCGCTTGAGCCCTGATCGGTAGTATAGTATGCACAGATTTTCAATGTCGTGTTATGTGATGTTTCATTAGTGCTCTTTCACTATATTCACTGATGCCTCAAGATAAGATTCACAACCTAAAAAAAAACGCCTCGCCTGTTGTGGGCACTTCCAGCCCTCTATCAAACCTGCTAAAAGTGGGCTAGATGTGGAGCAAATTGTGGGGCCACAAAGTGTTATTTTGTGGGTATTCAGGCCCTTGTTTTCGATATGTGTGCGGGAGCAAAGCGAGCTCCCAGAAGGCCAAGTGCGCGAGGTGGTGATGATGGACGCTCTGGAGGGAGCAACTGTGAGGAACACTGGGTAGTGAGGGGACATCGGGACCAGGTCCAGCCGTGCGATTTTTGTACTGTGTAGCAGCAGGGCTGTAGCTTTTGTCCTCCATTGAGAGAATCGGAATCGTTTTCCTGCAAATGAAACTTCCAGCTTTGGCCACTCGGACGCCAAAATGCGTATTTCATCTTCACATCACATCATCGTTCCTAACGGGACCTGCTTTCTAGACCCCAGTCGCCGTGGCTCGGAAAGACCCTCCCGTCTCGGCCCGCGTTGGTTCTGACGGTCGAATTCCTTGTGTCCGTCAGGTGCTCGCGCTCCGCCCCCGAGGACGTGGCGGCTGACCTCGGGCCCCTGGCCATCTCGTGCCCTCGGGCCCCCCAACAGCCCGAGAGGGCGGAGCCACAGAGGGAGAGGATGCAAAAACTGCAGAGGCTCAGCCAGGCGAAACTGGGCAGACCCCCGCCTCCAGGAGGAGCGAGAGGGACACCCAGGGAAACAGGAAGGGAGGAGGGCCGGGCAGGAAGTGATGTCAGACCTGTGGGTTCCGCCCCCTCCCACAGCGGCTCCGGGGAAGGAAAATTCCAGACGGTAGCGCGGAGTCCAGCCCCGGAGGGTCCAGTTCCCGCGGATGTGCCGCGGGACCCTCTGTGAGAAGCTCTGAAAGTAACTGCCCTCCTGTTGAAACACAGGTGGCTCGAACCCGGGTCTCGATTTGATTCAGAATGCCCCGCCCGCCCCACCTGTTCAGATGTCAAACCCAGCTCTGTCTGGCGGGACGTCCCACTCTCAGGTGACACGGTTGAGATGAGCATGGGCCAAAGATTTTTATTATTCAATCTAAGCGTAGGTCTTGCATCTTAATTGAGTATATCATTTCATTTAAAAAAAAAAAATGTTTGATATTTTTATACCTTTAAGTTTGCAAATAAAGACATTAAGTGGTGAATTTGGAAAAAAAAACTTGCAGTGTGTGTACTGTCCACTGTTATTCAATTTCATTTTTGCTACTATGACGGGACCTTAGATTTATAACAAAGTTTTTGTTACTTGAAATGAAACTTTGATGTTTTGATGTGTATGTAAATATTTTGATGGGGGGGACGACACTGTTCCTGGCATTGTTTTTTTTACCCAGTGGACTGGTCTGGTCTGTCAAGTGCTAAAACAGGACATTTTTAAACAATCCTGTAATCCACTGCTTAAAGTGGAACTAAGTAGCGGATCTGTGAGACGTAAGGTGAACTCATGTGCTGGGCGAGAGGGAGATGAAACAGGGAAATTGCAGACAGAGGGCTGACAAGGGCTGAGCTTTGTCAGGCATGCAGGAAGAAGTGGTGCTCGGGGACCAAGGCCGGTGAATGAGCAGTTGAGCAGTCCAGGGCACAAAGAGGAATCTGTGAGAGTGGTCAGGGTCAGAGCCAGAAGACACAGCACTGGAGCACAAGGGCAGTCCAAGCCCTGGTCATAAATACATAGGAGGGCCCCAAACCAAGTGGAACGCAGCTTGTGGCATGGAGGGTAAATCCAGAAGACATGGATCTGGATGGACGGAGCACTGGTCAAGAATCCAGGGAGAGGCAAGCAAGACGCAGGGGCACAGGGAACAAAGTGGGTCAGGAACTCGAAAGTGAGCTGGGATCAGAGCGGTACCTTCTCCCACAGACTCCAATACGAAACCTGAGCTTTGTCAGATCACAGTTTAACTACCATGAACCACCTGCAGTGGACCTGGTCATAAGCTGCCTCCAGGTGGTCCAGGTCACCTGTCGGTTATCTGCGGCAACCAGCGCTGACTGACAGGTGAGAAGAGGTGTTGCCGGCTGCCTTGTCAATGCTACTGTAGAGCATGACAAATCCTTAGTATACTAACTTGCAACACATTTACAGCAGCATTTGATGAAATCGCACCAGCAAACTCTGATTATATACAGCACCTCCACCCCCATACACCACACTTACAATTAATACTTTATCCACTGGGGAAATTAAAACCGACATGAAAAGTTAGCCAAGCGCGTTCTGATCACAGCTATCCCTCCTTCTCTTCCTGGTTTTTATGCTTCCTGTTACCCAGCCAAGATCCAGACACGGGCGAGGCTTGAATGGCACCCGGCGCCGCCCGGGCTGCCTGTCCCACTCGCGGGGCCGCTCAGCCACAGAGGTCGGCGATTACGTCACACTGCGGTCGTACCTGAGCCGGACCGGGACGGTGCCGGGTTATACCTGCTTATGCAAAACACTAGCTTTGAACAACATGTGCGCTGTTCTTAAGAAGCTGTTGAGTGCAGAAGAGGATCTTCCCTGCTGTCAACAGTATTGTGTATGGAGTTGATCCCCGCCGGAATGAAAACAGGACATTAAGAAAGGGTTTCAGAAATCAAATCATGTTTAAACGCCATAGTTACAGGCTGCAGAATTGGAGACTACTTTGTCTTCGTGCTATTCTGCTTCCTATGGGTCATATGCAGGTGGTTTGTATGAACAGCTTTTGAGCAGTATTCCTTGCATCGCGAACGTACGTACACAGCGGTTCCGCCCTTATTCCAGTTGGTGCGTAATTGCGCATTACTCAAAAAGCCAGGGTTCATAAAAACACGATGAGCTATCTGCTTAGTTTATGGTCGTTTTTAAGCCGTGAACATTATCCCAAATGGCGGTCTTTAAAATGCCTTTGGTTTGAAGGCTTTACAGTCTGTGTTCCCCTTGCAAAGGTATGGACCTCCAAATATTCGTGTCTGGAAACAAATGGCGTAAAGATGAGAAAGTGTGGAGGCCGTGAAAACATTCACAAATCATTTTATGCACAGTGCGGGTAGTTTGAGATCTCCAGGGCGTTTCGGGAAAACGCTATTAACTCGGAGCTAACTTGACCGCGGTCACCCCTGTTCGCACAAGATGACGGTTTTGATTGAAAGAACGGTGGTTGTGATTCTGAAGGTGACGGAAGAGCATTGTGTATGGAATTGTGACATGGACCCTGGGTTTCGGGTCAGTTTTGCCATCGCATGACGCAAAGCGCCCCGTAGCGCATTAAACACCGAAAAACAGAGAAATCCGTTCACTCCGTTGAACTCCGTTCACTCCTTTAAAGCAGAACGCCTTTAGGGTGTATATATTTAACTGCGACGGCACGGAATGGACATTTCAATATTATCAGTAAATGTTTTAGCACGTAAGGTAGAGACACTGTGAGAAACATTTTCAAACATTCGCAGCTTAAAGTCATTGCACAAAACGCAAAAGAGAAACGTGTGATTAAAGAGGAATACAAGCGTTCGGTTTTAACCTGATTTAATCCCTATAGCTAAAATGACGAGGGACCTAAACTGTCAAGACTATAAATATTTTTAAGAGAAACCGCAGGCTTTATATAAGGAAACTACAACAGTAGGACATAAACAGGAACAGTGTGAAGCTGGCAACATTAAGCGACGGGAACAGCCTTCCTAGCAGGACGCTACTATATAAACAGGTATTTTCACTTAGTGAGACAGGGGTTTTGCATGTGCATGGAGGAACCGCAAATAATGCCGGCCCGCTGGAACGTTTCTCCCTTGTCATGTGATGCTCCAGAACAGCTTCACGTCACTATCATGTGACTGGGGTTTCGTAGCCCCTCAGCTGACGCTAGCCGGATCACGTGACAGCACTTGGTCTCTCTCTCTCTCTCTCCCCCCCCTTCTTTCTCTCTCTCGAGGTCCAGGACGAGATTGTTGTTTCCATCATGGCGGACACGTGTGGTCAGGTGCTGCTGGGGTCGGGTCTCACAGTTCTCTCCCACCCGCTTATGTACATCAAGGTGCTAGTGCAGGTAAGGTACGAGGCGGGTGGGCTGTATCTGGCGGGGCGTGCTGGTGGCTGAAGCTCTTGTTAACTAACTTCGGCGGTGCCCGGTGCCTGCTAGCCATCTCCGGAAGAAGAAACCCCACAGACTGACCCATCCTGGTCTGTACGACATGGTCAGAGTGGAGGGAAAAGGGCATGTCACGTTTTGCCGTAACGCCGCCTGGTTCCTTCAAAAAAAACATCGGCAGGCTAGCTGTGCCTTGAGCTGGGGGGGGTCATGTGACGTCATTGTGACACGAGGAAGGACGTGTTTGACCTCTGCCTCTCGCTCGCGCAGTCCTGACACAGGCCCCGGGGAGAGGGGGTCTGGGCGGAAATACAGCTGCTCAGGAGGCATGCAGTGTCCGTCTCACCTGATGCAGTGGCTGCATGCAGAAATACAGTGTAGTTCCGCCTCCTCCGCAACGTGCATCAACAAGTTCCCCGGAGGAATCCTATGGTATCCCAGGCCGTTGCTCCGAGCTCTCCGACGTGCGTGTTGTCCTTTGGCCCGATTGCAGCGCCCTGCAGGTCCCTGTTAGGAGTGTGGCTTAGCGCCGCCGGCATGCTACCGGGGTCACCGGTAACCCCCTCCTTTCGTCAGAAGCTCAGCCCGTGTGACGACCACAGTCTCTAGCCAATGACACTCGCGATCTCGAGTTGTTGGACAGGACTGTCTTGTCAAAGAGGTGTGCCTGGCCAGCGAAAGTGAAAGCGCGTTGAAGCTGACTCCCGACCCGCAAGATGGCTTAGGGAGCACGGCCGCGTTTTTGGAAGGTTATTTGCAGTGCCGTTCGTTTTCTGAACAGCGGCGTCTTGGAAGTTGGGATGTTCGGAATGTCTGAGCTGGACAGTGGATTTCGAATATGCGGTTTTGTTTGTGTTATGTGGAAAAGTTTGGGGTTTCTTGGAGGATGCTGCTTGTTGGAGAGTCTGATATTAAACATCCCCTTGAGCCCTCGAATGTTATCTGCTAGCTCTTCACATGACGGATTCCAAAACAGCAATGTCTTTTCCTTAACACAGTGACCAAAATAGTACACCATAATCAAACTGAGGCCTTGCTCTTAAATTCTCCTCCTAGGACTATAAATCTTAACAGTTTGCTCTTACTGGCTGGAAGATGTAAGCGATGTATCAGCATCAACTAGTACATATTTTTGAGAGTTGCCTCTGTTTTTCAAAATTCTGAGGAGCTTGCAGAGAGATCGTGGCCTCCTAATAACCCCCATCTCTGAACTGGCTTCATCACTCTGCTCTCCTCCCCACTGAGAGCTGGTGTGTGTGGGAGGACTGGAGCATCATCCAGGTGGGGCTGCACACTGGTGGGGGTGGAGGGGATCCCCATGACCTGTAAAGAGCTCTGAGTGGAGGGTCCAGAAAAGTGCCATATAAGTGTAAGGAGTTGTTATTATTAGAATGTGTGTTTAGCAGCTGTGATGGCCCCATGTGTGTGCCGTGTCATTTCTGCCTGTGCCCGCTGGTTGATGGGGAGCCTCTTGGAGACGGCCCAGCTCGTCTCAGCACAGCGCAGGCGGCACGTTTGCCTGGTTTGCGTGGAGAGCAAGAGCCCGATGCCGAGGGGCACCTGAAAGAGTCGCCTCACGTGTGGTTGACGAGATCATTCCTTGCCGCTCCTCTGTTCGATGAAGTGGGAGAGGTGAATGACTTGGGGTGCCAGTGGCTCCCGGTTGACTTATTCCGCCTGTTTCTTCCTCTCTAGGTTGGGCACGAACCTCTTCCACCAACTTTAGGCAGAAACTTCTTTGGCCGGCAGGTTTACCAACTGCCAGGCCTTTTTGCCTACGGTAAGATTCAATTCCATTCAGTTTCTTTTTATATAGCGCCTTTCACAACAAGGTTGCCCCAAGGCGCTTAACAAAGCAAGCGGCCGTACACGTGAATACAGAACCGCAGACCAGAAGACAACGGAGGAGAGGAACCACAAACTCCTTAGTAAGGAGAAAAAAAACCTCTCGGGGTCCAAGGTACACTGGCTGCCCAATCCCTTTGGGCATGCTAACATTAGATAATTAAAAAAGGAATAAATGAATAAGGGTATTAATCCATCCATCATATCTTCTGTATGTCAGTACTCCATGCAGATCTCTGTAGACCAGCAAAATCCTCCTAAACGATAGCTATATCCACGATGTCCCTCTTGGATCCATGGCAGTGATGCAGCATCCAGCTCAGATGGTGCCCAGCCCGGGCGCCATTCGGACATGTGGGGAGGAGAATAGGATAGATGATGGATTCAATTCAATCCAAGTTTTATTGTGGCATCGGGGAAATTGTTTTTGGAATAGAGCTAATGCACCTCCTAATCCTGTTTTCGTTGTTAAAAATCTATAAATGGATTTCTGTGACTATTGTGCCATGCGTTCAGTGTTTTTGTTTTGCAACATTAGCGGGAGTGTGGTTTGTGAAGCAGACTGCTGAGCTTATTCTTGCCTGGCTGGGATGTTTTCAGTTTTCGCTTTAACAGGACCGACTGCCTCTTGCTTTCTAGCTAAACACATAGTGAAGATTGATGGGAAGGCAGGTCTGTTCAAAGGCCTGGCGCCTAGACTTTGTGCTGGATCCATCGGGACCATCGTCCACAGTAAGGTCCTTCAGGTAGGATCACATTGCCGGTTATTATGGTGCAAAACAAAAAACTACGACTGGTAATACTTAACATGCAACCTCCCTTGATCCACTCCATCTGCAGCCAACAGTCTTTAATTATTTAACTCACCCCATTATTTATCTGTTAGGGTGCTGGTGGTGTCAAAAGTGTTGCTGTGGAGTGGACTGAATGGGCCCTGTGATAATTACTGCTCCACCAGCTCCGCTCAGAGATGTTCACGTGCTGAATTCAGTCTCAGTGCGAAGTGGAGCGACCCCAGCCTTCTTTCAGTTCGTCGTTATTTTTTAATTGGCTTATTTTTTTTTTTGCAAAGTCTGCCTCTTCGTTCAGCACTCCGACTGTGGCCTGAAGTAGTGGCTGGAAACCGGAGTGCAATTTTACCACTCTCATAAGGTCACTTATACAATTTCTTGCATTAGGAATTTGTCTTTTCACATACCCCAGCTTGCTCTCCATGTGACACACAGACAGGGAGAGAAGCTAGGGGTCAGAGCGCAGGGTCTGCCATTGTACAGCGCCCCTGGAGCAGCTGGGGTTAAGGGCCTTGCTCAGGGGCCATGGGATTTGAACCGGCAACCTTCCAGCCACAGAGCCACTGCTCCACCTTAATGTGATGGTGAGGAGAGAGAGGCTGTCTGCATCTCCTTGCAAAGCCTTCAAAGCCTTTGACTGAACACTGGCTGTGTGTACAGAGACCTGGGCATCAGCCTAATGGCCAGGGTGGTGTGTGATAGGATCACAAACCTGTGTCAAGCTTTGCTCAGTCTGGCCTTTAATTTGTAGTTCTTTGTGGGCCTGGTTATTTCAAGAACAAAACTGAAGTTAACAGTCTAACAAGCTAGATGACAGTCTAGAAAAAATATGTATGGGGGTCCCCTTTTAATTTTCCATTGGGCCTTCTGGAGGATTTGTGTTTGCTTATCTCAGTCTTTTTTTTTTTTACAGAGATACCAGGAACAAGAAAAAAATAATGAGGTATGTGTTGTTTTTACTGTTGGCTTTTGAAAGCAGCAATGGCAGGAGAAAGCCTGGATCTTACTATATATGGTATTGTATATAGTAATATATATTGTATATGGTTAAAGGTCGACTTGTAGTGTGTAAAGGAACAAGGCTTTAGAATACAGACAGATGCTCTCAATTCCTCACCCATCTTTCCTTTGTGTTCAAGCCTGTACAGTTATTTCATTTTGAAGTGTTAAATAAGTACAGTGCCTATAACCTTATGTAAAAGGTCATATCAAAGATCAAACCAGTTGACTGTTATTTTTTTTTAGGAGTCAGGAAACTGCAAGAAAGATGACATCTCGTCACTACAGCAAGTTGTGAATGAGGTGTGTGAATTTCAGTATAATGAGAGAGGCCTCTGAACCAGCGCAGCGTTTTCTACCATTAATATACCTTTACTTCAAAATGTTTTACACTTATTTTTTTTTATTCTGCATGCTTCTGTTCCCAGCTGAACTTCATAGTTTCATTATGGAGCTCTTTCCCTGCCTCAGTGTAATTCCGGCTGTCGGAACAGGGCAGCACAGGGATTTTGGGAAGGGAAAACCTTCCGAGTTAGCTGGAGAGCGCATGAGTCATGCAGCAGCTGCTAAATAACGGGCTGAGTGCACAGAGTAACGTCTGGAGTCAGACAGAGGCCCGGGTCAGGTCAACACCTTGAGCCAAAGGCTTATCGCAAAATCCAATCCCGGCGCCTGTTGGAGGGTCTCTGTTTGAGGATGAAGCAGGAAACCTTGGGCTGGCAGACAGCCCCCAGTCCAGCGTGGGGGTTAGCAACGCGCTTTGGTTTTAGGAGACGTCCTGATTGGATCCAGGCTGCGTCTTTGCAAAACGTGCCAAGGACCATAAGGGTTACATAGATCTCTCTCGTCTGTTTTCTGATTCCTTCCTTAGATTTCACCCCCACACATTGTTTTGTTTCTCTCCTATAGGGGGTTAGGCTACGCATGTTCATCTACTTGGAAGTTTTCAGTCTACACATTTCCGAAGCCGAAGCGCTGATTTTGTTCCGTGTTTTCATTTCGGCTCCTTTGATCTCTCGCGCCGCGCGGCACGTGGTGTTTGTGTTTTCGTCGTTAAAGTTGCTTTCTCTTTCCCCTTGTCGCAGACAACCAAAGAGATGGTAGCACGTTCCTGTGCCACGATTGTCACTCACCCCTTCCATGGTAACTGCACTCTCTCTTGCTGAGCCCGTGTGTTTGTCATCTGCATGCACCCTCCTCTCCATTCACCAGCATACTGTAGAGAAGTGGACACACACAGCAGATGGGTTCATTTCCTTTGAACAACTGGACTGTAGTTTGTGGGATGTTCTTTTTTATATTATTTATTAAACAAGTTTTAATGTCAAGATCTTTGTTTTTGTCAATTGCACCTTTAAAACTGATTAAAACCCGTCTTTCCAGCTCGTTTCCTGTTTCTTTTGTCTGGCTAGTGCTAGTTAGTTTAGCCATCAATCTGTGATTTTTATTTGGAACGTCTGTGTGTTACGGGAGAGGTCTGCTGTACCATTAAAGCTTTCTTTCTCTTTTAGTTATCACTCTGAGGTGTATGGTGCAATTTATTGGAAGGGAAACCAAATACAGGTTAGTTGTCGAAGGGGCCCCTTGTTGTTTTCTTTCTCTGTACCTCATTCTGTTTGCTCATGTTTTTTTCATTGTGTTTTTCCCCAGCGGGGTGTTCGACTCCATTGTAACCATCTACAAGGAAGAGGGAATTCTGGGATTTTTTGCGTAAGTATGGCACTGGTGATTAGAGCAAGCAGGGAGCGCCTGGAATTTTTCTTTGGTAGTATCTGGTAGAACCGCAGTTAACCAAATACATATTCCCAGGGGAATCTTGCCAAATAAGTTGATATTTTATCCTTTAGGGGCGTAAGCACAAGTATAATTTGACACAAGAGAGCTCTTACGGGTTTTTGTGTAACGTGTTTGTATTTTTTCCAGTGGCTCATCCCACCTCCTTTAAACCGTAGAATCCCTGTCTCATCTACAAATTACACTTTGACGAAAATGTTTTTTTTTTTAAGTTGTGAAACTATGATCTATCTCGCAATGACTGTGAAGCAAGCAGAGGCAGAGATGTATGTGAACATTAATCTGTTACAACCTCTTGTCCTCTACCAGGGGTTTAATTCCTCGCCTGCTAGGTGATATTTTGTCATTATGGATCTGCAACATGCTCGCACACCTTGTCAACACCTATGCAATAGACAGCTCTGTAAGTACAGTCGCACCTCCTTGGGCAAAATCTGCTCTCGTGCTTGAAGTTTGGGTTCACACAGTATTTTATTTTTTTTAAAACGTTGTGCACATAGTAAATCCCCCAGGATTATGGCAACATCTGTAAATCAAATATTTTGTCACTGTTGCATGCACATCGCAGGATTCAAGATAGGATCTCTATATGTCATGCTATTCTAGAGTCTTGTTTCAGCTGTTTTCTCCAGGTGTAAATGTGTGAATCTCGCGTTTGCCTCTGTTGCGGGATTAGGATTCAGACAATCTTGCTGCTCTTTCTCTGCATGTAAAAACCAGGTTTGAAGAGCAGGCAGTTTGCCGTTTGCAAGAAACAGAAGTGCTCTTTGGCAGACTTTCAGAAGAAAAACTGCCAAAGTTGTACCCTCTACCTTTCTTCTTTAGATCGTGTGTAGTAATGTGTCTTTACCAGAACATTATGAGAAGCTAGTAGGAAACCTTTTTGTAGGCGGTTGTGATCGAAGATTCTTAACAGATTCTTAAGATTCTTTTTTTTACAATCTGATGCAGATGAACCACATGGGAGAAATAAAGAACTGCTCTCAGGCCATCACAGGTGTAAGTAAATCTATTTGATTCAGAATATATATTTTATGATCGTCTTAAAATACCTAAAAGAGGGGAGGCCAACCCTCTTCCACCGTGCAGTCTTAAATCAGCAATTTGCAGTTTTGGAACAAGGGAATTTGGATTGGTTCAGAAAGTTAATTGGGTCAATTAAGGCAGGAATGGCCAGCTGTTTTCTTTGAGAGCTATAGGGTGCTTGTGCTTTCATGTCCATTGACCTGTAAACTACCTAATTGAGGAATTTGGCTGCTTCAGTGATCAGAACAAAATGGTTCCAAGTGTTTCGAAATTGTGGTGCAAGGGTGGCCCATAGAAACCTAATGGAGTGTGGCTCTGTAGGTTCAGGGTTGGCCAGCACCATGGCCTAGACTGTAAACGTTTACAGCCTATTTCGGTATTGAAAACTGC